TGCGTGAGTAGAAAAATTTTCATTTCATCTATTAAAAAATACGTCTGAAGATTTAAAAAAAAAATAAATCTGACAGATTATCAATTTTTGCCTGCATTAAGAAAACTAATGACCAATAATTAATTAATAATTATTAATGAGAAAAAATATTAATTGAAAATTCATTATACAAAATGAAATGTAATTTATTTCTTGACTCAATCATTTACTGATCTAAACAAGATAAACTGAGTAAACTTCTTGCACCCTTTGTGAATAACCCTTATCGCTTCTTGTCGAGGGGTGTAACGGTAAGGAAGAGACGAAACGACGTTTACGAGGGAGCAATAAATACCAGAAAATTTAAAGAAATGCGTCGAGGACGCGTTGCATTATTTGTAAATGAAAGCAAAACTAATATCATTTTTTTTTTGTTTCTTTTTTATTATTATTATTTTTTTTAATAAAATAAAATATTCTTCAAATCGTGAATGTTTTTAAAAGTTACGGGCATTTCAATTTTATTTTAAGATAAAATTATTACTTTCGGATATTCCAAATAAATGTGTATAATTAATCTTTCCAATTCATAATGTAGGTTAAGATTTAAAAACTATGATTTTATTATAATAAGAATATAATAATAAGGTATATTAGTTTATTATATATAACAATAAAGAAATACTTTTCTTTTCTTACAATAAGAAATAATTTGGAATATTAAGTGCTTCCAAGTTTGTGAATATCGTTTAATCAATCAGCCACTTAATATGAAAAGCAAACTTATTCTTAATGACAATTATATGATTATTATTTTTCAAGATATGTGTTAAATTATGCTAATCTATCAACTGCCAAAGTTTGATTAAGAAAATGAAGCTTAAGATTACTAATTGTCGAATCAATAATGAATTATTGGAAGAAAAATATGAAAATAATTTTTATGAAAACATTGTCAGTTTCCATAAAATTCTGAGCTTAGAATATTATTTAGATAAAGAAGATAAAGTTGCTGCCAGTGTGCAATAAAAATTGAAAGAGCATTGAGCTTAATGTCTCAAGCTAACGAATTCAGTATGCAAAAATCATTGATAGTACGGGAGAAATTCGTAAACGATATGGCTAAAACGATATGAAAATAATTTATTACACCTCTCACAATATACGATAAGCGAGCTATTTAATTAAATCGGCAAACAACGACGACGAGCTCTTCGTCATTAATCGAATGCTCCGTAAAACGCTCGAGTTTCCCCGGATAACTTTCTTATCGACACAATCGTTTAACATTGTTTAACAGCGTCTCGGCAAATTAGGAGTCAGCGCGGTAGATGCTTAACATACTTCAGCAGCTGCCTTTTAAAATATACAGATAAGAACGGGCTGGGAGATATAATAGAACCTCGCTCGGTAATAAATGCACGTGTAATTAGAATATCCAGCAGAAGTTCCAGACCAGAGATACCCTTGCTCGTTGAAAACACAAATTGCGCGTCCTTGTATTCTTCGTAAACGCCTGTAGCTCGGGCAACAATTATTCGTAGAGAGAGAGAGAGAGAGGGAGAGAGAGGGAGAGAGAGAGAGAGATGGTGAGAGAGAGATGGTGAGAGAGATGGTGATAGAGAGATGGTGAGAGAGATAGAGATAGAGAGAGAGAGAGAGAGAGAGAGAACGCGTACACGAGAAGAAAAAAAAGTCTGGATGTAATATTCGTCGCGCTCTTTACGCCTCTCTTTGCGCATTGTTGGGTAGAGAGAAGCGGGGTGATTCGGGCTGGCGGTCAGCCTAGCGTACATAACACCCGCAGTCCGCTAGGGGGTGAGCGAGGGTGGCTGGACGGACGGCTGAGGGTGTGACGGGTCGGTAGGGTGGGAGGGGGATTGATATGACGAGGGGATATGTGGGAGGGGGGGGGACACGCGCGGCTAGATACCGTTTTGCACAAAGGGGACAAACGCCAATTATATTTTAATATCCTTCGGTGGGAGGGAGGCTGAGGGAAGAGACCCGCTCGGCCGACTTTCGAGTGACGCGCGCGCCGCACCAAATTCCTCTGCCCTCTTTTACCCTTCCTTTTTTCTCTCTCTTCAAACGCACCCCTGTGCCGTAGCGAAAATCGACCCTCCCTGTTTTTCTATTTCGATGTACCTCTTAATTCTCTCTCTCTCTCTCTCTCTCTCTCTCTCTCTCTCTTTCTCTCACTCTCTCCTTCTCTTAGTTTTTTCTGGCCCTTTTAACTTCTTTGCCGCATTTATCGTCTTCTTGTCGAGTCTAAATTGCGCTCAAAAAGCACACCGTTTTAGCATCGCGCACGCGCCAAGCGAGATATATTTTAGGATTATTTGAGCGACACTTTTCATCGTCATTACTGGTACTAAGGGAATAATGAATTGAATGAATTGAAATGCGTATCAAACTTATTACGAGATAAAATTTGATTATTGCAAAATTATTTTTTGTCGTTTAGAAAAAAAAAACTAACCTTTTTCCTGTTATAATTTATCGTTGACGTAAATTTTGTTTAATAAAATTATGAAGAAGTTCTACTGTATAAAATTATAAAATGTAATGATTATATAAAGATGAATTTAATTAAGTTAACAAAATAATAAAACGAACAAAATATGACGAGTAAGAAATCTTTTTTTTTTTTTATTGTTTTTAAATGAACATTCATTTAGTCAGAGTAAACAATAATTTTACGCAAAAAAAATCCATCATTTTAACATTAAAAAAAAAAGAAGTTTTAATTATTACTACTATATTATATTTTATTTTATTTATGCTATTATTATATTTATTGCTGATCTATACAAATTTTTGCTACAAGGGAAACAGCAATAATCATATTCGTAATAATAACTCGAAGAGAAAAAATTTATATTACAAAAAGATTTTATCGAATGTAATTACAGATTGTAAATGGCTTATGTAATTATAAATTCTCTTTGTGCAGACGGTAAATCGAAGCAAGCTAGTTGGCTAATTTCCGATACTTAAATAGACAGTCTTTGAAGTGAATAAATTTAATATTTTAGCGATGATTAATTAATTAATTCCAAATAAGTACAATGAAGTATATAAACGTAGTTTGTCAATCATAATCGTATAAGCATACATGTGTATAGTACGAATGCGTAAGTGTGTGAATTTATAGTGGGAATCCTCGAAGCTTACGAAGTTACGTAAACATTAAAAAAAAATAAAAACATCATTGATAATTAAAAAATATTCATGATATTAAGCGCTTGTTCGATAAATCAATGCTAAAAGTAATAAATTTTCTATGATAACATGAGATACAAATAAATTTCACTTCAAATCATCTGATAAGTAAATATACATTGGACAATGATTGAAATGAAATCACTGTAAAATAAGAGCACTCGTAACTGCTATTTTCACTATAAACAATATTATGATTTATAGAATTTACACGCTCATGTTCACTCCGTTTGTATTTCGTATAATCTCTTGCGTGCAATGCTTATAAATTGTTAATAAAATAGCAAATAAATGATGCCCTTTAATTCAGTAAGACACGAGTAATATAAATGTGGAATAAAAGTCCATGAGAATTTAATTGCTTTTTATCCGAGGAATTATTGATTAATTTAAATTTATAATTGATATACATTGGGCAAATATAGGCGCGAGTCCGTGCACACACCACTTTCTACATAATATGATATCGAAACGAAAGGTGAAATTTATTTATATGTAATGCTTCAAGATAAAATTGGTGCTTGTTCGTTAAATTGAAACAACTGCTTTCGATATATTTGACATGGACTTAGCGAGTCCTAGCCTCTCAATGCCATTATCATTAAAATTATTATTTAACCAAGTATTTACGATCTATTATTTCAGTGACGTTTCTTACATTACTTTTCAACGTTTGTCGAGTAAGTGTTAACCGAATGTAAGGGAAGACACGATCGATTATTTATCTCCGAGTCAATCGTCGATAATTTCAATCGTCATAAGGTGACGTCGCTGTGCGTAAATTCATTAGAACGATATAAAGGTGCCGAACTAAAAAAAATCAAAAAAAAAAAAAAAAAAAAAAAAAAATTAATAATAATAATTACAATAGTAACGATAACAAATAAAACAAAACAAAAAAAAAATCCAAACAAAATATTGAAATTTTCAATGTTTGACGTTGCAAATTATGTAATACAGAGAGTATGAAAAGTATTCGAGTGATTGATTATTTAGGATTTTATAGGCTGGATGAAAAAGTGGACGAAACGCAACGAGATTTTTATATATTTTTCATGAATTCCGTGGTATTAATTTTTTTTCTATACTGCGATTTCATGCAATGATCGTTCATTGATTATGTCCAGTGGCGCATAATAATCTAACGGATAGTTTATTCTAAGCAGTGCTCGACCAAAACACATCCTTACATTGCAAATATTTATCTGGCTATGTCGGATATGCGATAATAAGCGATGCCGAGCGAGGCTAACATCCTCCCTCCCTAACACCACCTCGATTTCTCCTTTTAGGATCATGAGGAGTCGCGCGACCTGGTGCGCGCGCCACGAGTCCCGCGCCGTCTGGCCCTCGGTCCTCTCGGCTCGCCGCTCTTATAACCCAGCGCGGCCGAGATCAAGAAAGTCCTGCTCTGTTCAGCACTGTATCGCGTCCTCTAGGCCGCATGCGCCTCCCCCACCAGGTGCCGAGCGATGGCTGGGGGAGCGGTAACGCGCGACGCCTCGTCGTGGCGCCCTCCAATGTGCCTTCCGCGCCGCTGAGCAATCGCGCCCATTCAGAATCGATGATGTCAGGCTCGCCCAGCGGCCATCCCCACCGTCGTCTACCCGAGCCGCCCACCCATTGGCCCGCCAACAGCCAATGACTACTGAGCTGGGCGTCCCCCCTCCTCGCGCCACCCGCCGAACCGCGCCGAGAGTCGGAGCGAGCGAGAGAGAAGGAGGGCGAGCGGGTGCGAGCCAGGGCGACGGGCGCCGACAACCCTTAGTTAAGTCGCCGCTGTCGATCAGCCTACGTGCGCCCGCGTCTTTCTACCAGAGCCACGCGGCCGTCACGCATCGCACCCAATTCTCCTCAAGCCGGGATGCCGGCTACGCTGTGACCCCTGCCAGAGCGCGCAACCCCGTCCTGACCCGCGTGTGAGACGTCCCCCGTGTTTGCCTTGGTGCGGGCCCGGAGGAGCGCGCGACCGCCGCCCGACGGCCAGTATTGGTAAGTCCACGTGCTTCACCCGGGACCATTCGCCCGGCCCGGACCTTTTTCACCCTTAAGCGCTGCTCGATCTATTTTTCATTCTATTTACTCGACTATCCCACTATGTTATTTATCTAACTATCTACCCGTCCCATATATCCGACTGTTTTTCCTCCTTTCCCTGAGTTCTCCTCCCTCCTCATCCTCCTGCTCCTACTTATCCACTATCTCCACTACGACACCATTCCACCCCCTCTTATCATCTCTCATCATCGCATGATCCCCAAACCCAAATACATCCTGAACCCCACACCCCGCCGACCCGGCTGCCCGGTGACGGGATACTCACCGCTGCCGATGCTCTTCTTCCTGGCCTTTGAACAATTTTATGTACACGGCTTTGCATCGCGCAACTGTTGAGACATCGCGCATGGCCACGTAACTTCTGACGACTATTTTATTTTCCTCCGATGTCCCCGAGCTCGTTCCGTCGAGTCTTGGATTTTCCATTGCGGCGCACTCGATCTTTAATCTCCACTCAGTCGTGCACGAGAATGAGCGGGTAAGAAATTGTCCTTAATCTATAAAGCGCCTCGGCCGACGTGTAGCGAATCTTTGACTCTGTTGCCCCTTGGATTTTGAAATTTAAATGGACACTCCCTCGGATGGATATAAATAATGGGGCGACGATCGGGCGGAGAGGGGGGAGAGTGGGTTGGCGACGGCGACGGCAACGACGACGATGACGAAAACGACGACGACGACGACGAGTGGTGAATAGTAGTGAGAGAGAGAGAGAGAGAGAGAGAGAGAGAGAGAGAGAGCGAGAGAGCGAGAGAGCGAGGGCTAAACTCGAGATTTTCAACCTCGAGTCCCAACTGCCCGATCTTCGGACTTAATAATGTCCGTCGTGGGACTACGCTTAGACGATCGATCGATCGATCGATCGATCGGTTTTGCTGGCCGCGCGCGTACTTTTCCACGCCTCGTCCAATATCCTATCCCCGATGACTTCCTCGTCGCGCATCGCACATTCCTTACGCCCGACACAAATTGCTTCCTTAATTATTGCGTCCTTAATTAGTAGTCGCTCGTACAATTTTTTTTGCGATTTTGACGAGGCTCGAGGTCGACGCACAAGTGACGACACCCCGTGGCGCCGCTTTATGCGATGATCGACTCGCTTATGCCGTGGCGAGGGTTGGATGCACGAGGAGCGCGAGATCCGACGCACATTATTATCTTCCGTGAACTTTCCTATTCTTCTTAATGTTACTTTTACCTGATCGATAGATGGCCAATTAACGAGACCTGTATTGTTTAGGGGTTCCCTGGGAGTCAGTGGCATTTTCCAGTGAGAATCAGTCGGGCATTATGTTTTATCATTTCACCGGGACAAATCCGTGCCAAGGAGCAGTCTTGTATCCGGGCACTATTTACTAATTGTGAACATTAAGGGTGAGGTGCTGGCCAACCTTTCGTGCATTGTTTTTGAACAAAAATAGAAGAAGAAGAAAATTGCTCATTAGATGCGGGAGAAAATGTCGCGCAATGGTGAACTATAAAGTTAACATTGCGAGTTTATCTTTGCCTCTGACAAACGAGCCTCGTCTTGACTTAGCCCGCCCCCCCCTCCCCCTCCAAGTATAACTTTAAACTTTACGACTTTTTAAAGAGTAATTTAGGTGATAATCGGTTCAACGACGCCCGATTCATATATTCAGTTTAATAAACAAATCTAGAATTTTTTTTTTATCCTAATGCGATTGGGCATATGTCAATGTCCAAAGTAACTAGCAAGACGTCAAATGTAATATAATTATGATTACAATATTATATTCAATAATAATCAATAAAATTCTGATGTGATATATTGAAAGGGTAAGGCTGAATATTTTGTCAGGAATGAACGATACTTAATTTAGTGGGAATTTTCCAATGAAACGGTACGCCTCGGTCATTGAAGATACGTTACTCGACTTTTTCCATTTAATAATACATTCTCCAGCGTTGTTCGCAAATACATAGGAAATATTATTATTAGTAATGCAAGTAAATATAATGCGCCATTGGTTTGAGCGCGACATGTCGCAAAGATGGTCGTACAATGGTCCGCCCCAAGTTTAATCAATTGATTTTTGATAAAATGCGTATTGAAGAGGCGCGAAAGCAATGAGAATTCTAGTTCTCCCGTGCCAAACCACGAAATAATTTAAATTCAATGAAACATAATGTACGGCACGTAGACTTCAATTCAAGATTTACGCCCACATATTTATTTATCCATGTCAAAGGAGGGAGCGGTATAATTGGATTTCTGACGAGCAGGCGGTAATGAAGGGCAACTCGTAGACCTAATTAAATATAAGGTTTAAGGTAAAAAGGAGAGGGATTTTTTCTTTCTTTCTTTATTTTTCTTTTTTTTTTTCTTTTTTTATATACGTATATATATATATATATATATATATATATATATATATATATATATAAGCGTCAAGCTCTCCTAATCGTGCCAACACCTCTGTTGGCTTTGATGTTGGGAAATCAAACGGCAGCACTCGGAGCACCGCCTCGTTGTTATTCGTAAGCGTAAAACGTGAAAAGTATGGCGTCAAATACAAGTGGCCGCTCGGCCGTTTCCTCGGCGCAAGTCTCGCATAAGAATAGCACATGCAAATCTCGCAACTTTGTTAATTTTCCGTTGTTGGGGCGCCGTGCGACAAAGGATTGGTTTTTGCTGGCGGCGATCGTGTTTGCCCTGCGAAAATCCCCGATCGGATTATCGATCGTTCGCCGCCCGTCGCGCAAAACCTACGACGAGTGCTGCGTTTGTCTGAGCGTCCGAGGACTAATTTGCTGAATAAGCATAATTTCTTTCTATTTCTAATTTTGGCTATGCTTAAGGAGGTAGCTGCGCCAGATGATACCGAATCCATTTCTCTCTCTCTCTCTCTCTCTCTCTCTGTCTCTCTCTCTCTCTGTCTCTGTCTCTGTCTCTCTTGGGAGAGCCCACGCGCAGGCTCAGTAACGACAATTAATAACGTACAGCGGGGCTCGTTGAGGTTTCCTTGGTTTTCTAACGAAAGTTTTACGCTTTTCGACTGGATTCATAAAATATTTACACCCATTTACAAAGAGTATACGGCAGTCAAAATGTGTCGAATGTGCCTCGTACTTTAGATATAGTAGCGTCTTTTTTTCCTCTCTATCTTCTATCTATGATCTATCTTGTATATATCGAGATATTATTGATTATATTTTGATGTTAATGAGCATCGAGGATGAACGATAACATAATTGAATGAAGCATTCGTTATTCTTCGAGTCCGATGATAATGTTGGTGCACCAAAGTTATAAAGACTTGCTCGAGTAAGAAATCAAGCGTTATTTTATCGGTTAATGCACGTACAAACTTAATATATCAACAAACCTCGCGCAGATTCATCATTTAAAAATGCTTAAAGCAACGCTAAAAGCACGCAAGCTCATTAAACGGAAAGCGTAGAATAGACGCGCTGTCATAGAAACGCTTAGGACGTCTCGAAAGCTTATTTAGGGATAGGCTTACTCACTTAAGCTCACGCGTAAGTGAAAACAATGTGCTTAATTTTGTTGCGCCAATGTATCAAAAGCGTCTACGCGCGCTCTTTCATCTCTTTGGGAAAGCAAGAAGAAGGAGAAATGGATAAATTGTGCAAAATGCATCGAGGCTCGTTTCCGTTCAATTAGCTTCTCATCCACTCGATTCACATTATATCTACGGCAATTTTCCTTTCGTCGGCGCGCAGAGTGACGCATATAAAAACAAGGATAAAAGAAGGAGTGAGGGAATAACAAAAAGTAACAGAAGAAAATAACCAAAAAGAAAATACACGTGCACACACACGCACGCAAAAAAAAAACAAGAAAGAAAAAAGAAGCCGAGCCAGGCTGAGCGAGGAGATCAGTGAGCGATTGCGTTGCGTAAGGGACGCGAAGAAAGAGCGAGAGGGAGGGATTGACGAGGAGTCCAGGCGACGTGTGGGACGTGCTGCGGTCGTCGTGCGGTACGGCGCGTTAATCGGACCGCGACGCGATTCGAATCGACTTGGCTAAACTTTATAAGCGAGTCCCGCGCCTATACGAGCGCGAGAGCAGACCGCCGGGCGGGGTGGGG